AGTCACTACACGTATTGAGCAAGTTGCTAAGATTACTAGTAAACATTCGAATCATATCTATCTCTTAAGAGAGCTATCTAAAGACAAGTCTTGGTTCTTATTTAAGCAAATAGCCTTTGAATATGGGATAGAGCCAAAAGATTCGATACTAGTAGAATTGGAAAGGAATTGTACAAAGTGTGGAGGAGTTCCTCTGTTATAGTGACGATAGCACACCTACTTTATGGTAATAATAAGGAAGATGATGGTTACAGTTCAAGGATATGAAATGTCAAAATAATTCAAAAGGAAAGGGATATTTTACCTATACTCAAGCTTAGTTATGATCATCTTCCCTCACACTTAAGCAATGTTTTGCCTATTGCATTGTTTCCCAAAGATTATAAGATTGAGAAGCAAAATCTTATTCATTTTGGATGGCGCAAGCTTCTTCAAGGATCAAACAAGAAGGAATGTCTAGAATTATGGTAATAAGTATTTTATGGCCTTACTTTTAGGTCATTTTTCCAAGATCCAGAATATGATGAATGGGGCATGTAATTGCATGTAAGATGCAGATCTATGCATACCTTGCACAATTAGTTGCAGGAATTGAATGCACTATGGTAGCATTATACATTGAAATTGTGAATGTAAAATGTCATCATTTATCACTTGATTGTGGTGAAATAAGTCGATCATGAAATTTCCACTTGCTTTTTATAGTGCCAAAAATATAAGAACCTTACTTTTATTGAATCAATCAAAAGGGTTGTACAAAGTGGATGATGGTTATGAAATTTTAACAAGTTATAGGCACTTGCGAACATTGGATTTTGGAGGAATAAGTTTCAAAAGTTGTTTACTCAGAATGTAAACTGAAGAGCTCATTGCTAAATTAGAGCATCTCGATATCTCAATTTTTCAAGGATGGGTATTAAAAGTTTTCCTAATTCCGTTTTGAGACTTGGAATTTGGAAACATTAGACCTCTCCTATTGTTCAGAGCTTATAGAGCTACCAAGAGACATTCCAAAATGGTGAACTTGAGCATCTTATTCAAAGGATGTTATTCTTATTAGAATGCCACATGGACTGGGTGTTTAACTAATCTTCAACACCTATCAAGATTCGTAGCAAGTAAGAGAAATAGTTGGGCCATTAAAAAAAGCAAATATAGTAGGATAGATGAATTAAGTAGGTTGAAACATTTGAGGGGAGAACTATATCTTGATAATTTAAAATATGTTGAAAATGGAGGTTGGCCAACTTAAATGAAAACATTTCTTCAGTCTCTTATCTGGATTGGCAGAGAAGTAGCTATGGGGAGGTTGAGGATTGATGAAGTGGTGTTAGAAGGTCTAAAGCCACACCCAAATTTGAAAGAAACTCCTATAGATTCATTTATGGTGGTGAAGTTTTGTAATTGGCTTTCCTCCCTCACAAATCTAACTTCAATTAGTATAAAACGTTGTGCGTTGCCAATCGTATCACTATTGAATAAATTTCCTCATTTGAGAGTTTGTCTCTTCGAGATCTTATGATTTGGAGTACATTTTAGAGGAAGCAAGTGATAGTTGTTTTTCCACACTCTCAATAACATTTTTCCCATCACTTAAGGAACTGTCACTAGGGGTTGTCTTAAATTAAAGGGTGGTGGAAAGAGATGTTAACGTGATGGAAGAGAGTTGCCTTCATTTCCTTGCCTTTCCAAATTAGATATTGATCAGTGCCCAAACTGTTGTTTCCATGCCACTGTTTCCGTCTCTTGAAGAATGTACTGTTGAATACCAGTTCGAGGCCATTGCTACGACAATAATGTTGGTGAATAGTGTGGGACCATCAACTTCCTCCAACTTTTCTACCCTCTTTCTCCAATTAAAGTCTCTAAGGCTCTATAGAATTGCTGATCTAGAATCTCTACCAGCGGAGCGGATGCGAACTCACTTCTCTGGTTTATCTGACAATTCAAATATGGACAGCTAACTTTCTCACGGATGACGTGCAATGGCATAGTCCTCAAAGCCTTTATTCTTTACAACTTTTCAATCTTCCAAATTGGTGTCTTTACCAAAGGGTTTCAATATCTTACTTCTCTACAGAAGTTGACTATTAGTTATTGTGACCAATTTGAATCACCCGCAGTGAAGATGATGATGACATGCCAGGCAAGGCTTTAGGAGCCTCCAGTCTTTAACAATTGAACCTCTTCCAAAATTGGTGTCTCTCCAAAGGGCTTCAATATGTTACCACTCTACGAGATTTGTATATTGATGATTGTGACCAATTTGAATCACCCAGCAGTGAGGATACGATGACATGCCATGGCAAGCTTTAGAGCCTCCAGTCTTTATATATTCATGGGCTTCCCAAAATGGTGTCTCTCCCAAGGGGCTTCAATAGTGTTACCACTCTACGATTGACTATTAATATTCATAATTTGACAGCTCTACCGGAGTGGATATCCAATTCAGTTCACTTTCAAGACTGGAGATCTACATTGTCCCAAATTGTCAGAAAGATGCGAAATAACATAGGGATGGATTGGCCAAAGATTGCTCACATCCCAAATATTCAAATTGATCGCAAATGGATTCAATTGATCACAAATATTCTTCTTCAACAGGGTGATACTTCTCTTGAAATTAATCATAAGCCTTTGTTATTTGTTTTATGAGTAAAAAATTTCCTTTGCTTTATCGGTTTTCATAACTAATTTCCTACATTTTTAATGCAGGATTGCGTGATAGGGGAATGTTAATTGGATGGTACTTATCTTACCTTTTCATTAATTTATTCCAAGTCTTTCACTTTTGCAAGGAATTTTTATACATATAGCATCATATATTTTATTAATCTCAATCTCTTTATTATTAATCCATAAAATTTAGATTTAAAAGTCTGAAATTTGATAGCTCTTTTAATTGAATTTTGGCATTCAAAAATTGAATGGTAATTGTATCCCTTATTACCTGCACTTTTGTTCTTGATGAAAACAAATTTTGCATGCTCAATCAGACATTATTCTAATTCATCTCTTCTCTTCAAATTGTCTAATGTTTCATCAGTCCCTACTCTGTTTGCAAAGTGATGATTCTGTGTTGGTTTTGTTTTTCATGAGGCATACCCTTAGAGCTCATTATTAATTGTTAATAAACCCTCATATGCTAACAAACAAGATAATTTCTTGTTAATTTGCAGGCAAAACACTTGTAGTAGATGGTTATTCACAGGAATTGATTTATTCTTTCTTCAACTGACTTTTTATTTTAATTAAATTCTCATTCTTAATTGTTGATGGACTTCATGTAACGCTATTGAATATGTGATGTGTAGATGGATCTAATTGCTAATTGGGTCTTCAATTAACATTATCGAGCAGGTCTTACCTCAACAAAACAACCAAGAAATTCCAATGAATATGTTTTGTGTTGTCATTATATAGTTTCTCTCAATGCTTTTGTACTTCTCCTTCTCTTATTGTAATTCATGCTTTGCATTTTTTTTTTTTCCTTTTTCATTGTATTTAGCTTTATTTGAGGGGTAAGGCTCATTACGTCCCCCGCTAGTGTCATTTTTTTTTCAATTAATAAAATTCTTCTCGTACGTCGAGGTTTCCCTAAATAAAATGATTTGTCTTATGTGCAAAGCATAAATAGCTACAATGAATAACTCTCAATAAATGAAACTATAAGTTATGAATGTAAGAACCAAACTTGGCTTATAGTAAAAACCATATTTCTTTATTGATAAAACAGAACACCCTTCAAGCACACAAAGCATCATGGAAGCCATTTGACGCTCCATCACTGCCTTTAGATACGTCTTAAGCCAACATTATCATTAGTGGTAGCGACTGCGAGCCAAGGGATCAAGTGGGCTAACCACGGAAAACCAAAACCCAACCCAAACGGAAATGGCAAAGCATCCGGAACGTTGATTGTAGACTGGTTATTCGTTGACATCTCTATTTCTCTTCTATTAACATTATAAGGTTTAAGTGTCATTTTCTTGAGTTTTAGGGGTCTATATGAACCCCTCTTGATAATCTCATTTTCAGGTGCCAATATTCAATTACCATTGTATCCCTCTCACATAATACGAAACTAATGTAATTAGGGCTAAGGAGCGTATTATTGAATATTGATACGGTTTTCACTAAATCTGATTGTATCCCCTCACATAATACGCAACACGCTTGATGCCACCTGTGTTTGCAGGTATGCAAAATGCCATTGTAATTTGATATCTTTATTTCCAAGTGTTGGTTTTATTGTTTGTTCATTTAATCTATATTGATTTTGAATTAAATTTGATTGTTGTTGTGGAACTTTCCTTGTCAAGGAGTTCAACAGACATAATACGCCAGAGTTTGAGTTAAAGTATGCTTTACTGCCGCAAGTTCCTGATCTTCTGTTGCTTAATTATGCTTGTAGTTGTAGTATATTTTATCAGTTGATTGAAATCTTTTTGTTGCATGTTGCAGCACCAGCCCTGAACTTCTACTGAATCCTGTAAGAACCACAATCTAGACCTTAGATATGGGCAAAATATATTTTTCTCCATCCTTCTTATAGGAAAAATATGTTTTGCTCCGTCCTTCTTATTGGCTCATTTTGTAGTTCCAAATTCATAAAATTTATGGGGTTGTCAATTTCTTTAGATTTCTATTTCGTTTCCATGGCTTGTCTAATAAAGTAAACCTCAACAGTTTAAATCATACATTTAGGGGCTTGAGCAAAATATCATGAAATATACTGAGCCTTTTTAATTCCTTAACATGATTGATTCTTCTTTGAAACTTATATACTCATTATGGTTTACAATTAGTTCTTCCTAAAATGCTAGAAAAAGGAATTGTTTGCTTTATGTTTCTTCTTGCTTATGCAACAAAGCATAGGAGTTTTGTTATCTGTGACATTTTAAAACATGATTAGCACCCTTATAAGTTTTTCTGGACTCTGAATAAAATTCTGGTCTCACATTTTCTCCTTATATGAATGTTATTTTTTTGTTGTGTAGGTAATGGCAGATGAACTTGAAAACATACTAACTAAGAAGTTTTTCAGAATTTTGTCAATGAGGGCAGACGCATTTCAAGTGTTAAGGAGAAAGCCATTACAGGTATATGGTTTTATCTTACTGCTTTTTGGAGACATAATGCTGCTTGGCAAATTCAAAAATTTCCAATCAACGTCAGAAATCATCAGTTTCTGAAAAATTCATTTAGAGTTAGTCTGCCATTAGTAAGATATTTGCTATTTATGGGCAGAAGAATGTTGTCCTTGAGATTCAAGCAGTCTCTAATTTCACTTTTGGTAAATTGGCAGATTTTGTTTTATTAGACATATTTTCTGCCCAAACATTTTATTGTTCGACATGCTGGTTCCATTAAACCAGTTTATGGTGAAGGCAATACAGTATAATGATGGGCTATGATGTTTTCATGAGTTCTTGCTGGGCAATATTCCTCTGTATGTATTTTGTATCCCACTTCTGGCACTGCAGCATAATAGTCTTGAGAACTTTTGTGCTTGCAACAAGACAAGAGTTACTATTATCATGTTTGATTATTATGCTCTTTAAATAAGTACTTAATTGATGCATTTATCCTAATTTTATGTGTGAAGGATACATTTCGCATGCTTTATATTTTCTGTAATGTATTTTGTTTCCGTATACATGTAGCCAGTCAACATTATATGCAACTTATTTATGATTGAAGTTGCATACCGTCAAAGTGGTGATGTGCATTGCAATGCTAGCCCTTGGCAATTAATCTTTACACTTTGCATGATCTCATGTGAATTTGTTAGTGGTATGTTTTTTCTGTTGAATTCTTTCTTTTTTTTTTTTTTGTAAATCTATGAAGCAGTTGTTGGTTATAATATTTGGTGATCTTAGCTTTGGTTTAATATTTTTTTTCATAAAATCTATACAGCATATCTTAGCTTTGATGTGAAAATGAATTATAGTCATTTGCTTTAGATTTAAAATGCTTTCTTGGTGGCAAATCATATAGTAATAGATGGTAGGCACAGCGGAGGCTGACTGTTGGATATGCAAAAGCCTACTTCTTTTCAGGGGAACAGAGAAAATTAACTGTGCTTGGACACATGAATATAACATTTTAAAAAGATTTAAAACGTGATTGGACAATTTTAAGATTCAACCATGTAGCACATGTTTTAGTTACAATTTTAGAGAACCAAACTGGGTGTCATATATTGTAGAATACATGTGCTTTATTTCTTTAAATCTATATATCAAACAAACAGAATTTTTTCATAGAATTGCAGGACATTGATAAATAGATAAGTGAATTGAAAATGTCAGTTAACACACGAGGTAGGCTGGTGGCTACCAAGTTTCTGAAGCAGTTTGTACAAAGATTGGAAAATCTCTATGGTTTTGCATGTCTTATTTTAAATCATTGACCAGTTTATGGATCATATTGTTTACCCTCCAAGATGATCTCTTCACTGTTTATGTACTTTCAGGATCTTGTAAATGGATGAAAGTGTTTTTTATTTTTTAGTGTTATTTTGTCTCATTGATTTGGATGATGATAGAATATTGTAAACCCAGAAGTATTAGTTTCTTGAGGTTTTATAGTGATTCATCAGTCTTCGATATTGTGTTAAAAGAGAACTTGGTGTATCCATTACTATATATTTTTTTACCTTTAATATAAAATTAGTTTTTTTTTTTAAATTTTTGTGACCTTAATGTGTGTCATATATTCTACTACAAATTCTAATTATATAGAAGATAATTTTCAAATTAAATAGAAGATAACTATAAATATCAATAGAATAATTAAGGAGACTACATTGATAAATGTATTGTTTTGATAATAATTGCTTATTGATTTATTCCGGAAAGTTTTTTGAAGATTTAAGTTGTATATAATAAGTACTATGTTAGACATATTTATTTCCTTATTAAATGGAATATATTTCCCTAATCAATTACAGGATTAACGATATGATAAAATGATATAAAAGCAAAATGCATGATCCTAAAGTACAAGCTGAAGCAAAGAGTTAAGATGTATAGACCGAATCGGTAATTGGGGATACCCCATCGCTGGTGATGGAGAATGCTGGTAATTTGAGAGGGAGAAGAATCCCACAATGATATCTTTGGGAAGAATCGCCATGGTTGATAAGGAAAATAAGTCAAGAGGGTTTATGGTTTTATTGACAGAATTGATAAACTATGATCAATGATGTAGGAATAACAATGGAGCTTATGTTCGCTTTTGCAACCCTGACTTCAGATTAATAGAGTACTTGCAATTTGCAAACTATGCGATTGAACTAAACTTGTATTTAAGTGCACTACCACTAGCATTAATTGAATGAAAGCTCAAGATTTTGCATTTAGAAATTAGAATAAGAATGTTTAGCAAAACAATAATGCTATGTATACTACTGGTTCTTACTATCCAGTTTACAACCATTGTTTTAAAAACCGGACCAGAGGGCAACCCGATCCGATGGCTGAGTCATGGTTCAACCGGTCCAACCGGTTGGACTACCAGTTGGACCGGTGACGTCATCACACATCATGATTCCATACTGTTGTCATAAGTCCTTATTCCATCCACAAACATACAATAGAAGTAAAACATAAACATTCAAGTACGGAATTCAAATACATAATCTGGAAATACATGCACATACAATAAGTACTTAGCAACAAATATACAACAAAATCAATTGATAGTTGCACATAAAATAACTCATTAAAAGAAATATTCAAGTAAAACATAAAGTATATCAATAAAAGTTCTGCTAACTACATAAGTACATGTACGAAATTAAGCTCATAAAAGAAGAAAAAATCTTTCCTTCTTTTATGAACTTAATTTGAATTTCCTTTTTGTGATTTGCAAAATGCACTTCATGATTTTACTTCTATCAATTTCGTCCCGATCTCACTGCTTCCAAAACCAAACTTCAAATGGGCATGCAAACTTTAAATGAAAGGATTATCTACATGATAATTTTGGTTAAAGCAATATTTACTCATTGGCTGATTCTCTTTCACATCCCATAACCGTAGTATGCTGTCTGTAGATGCAGAAACAAGTTCATTATTTGACAAGAATTTCACATATGAAACAACTTTCTTATGCCCAGTGAACACACGGAGTGGTTGGCTAATGTTTCTCAAATCGTAGTAATGGATGTGATGGTTTGCTGAACCAACCTGCACAAGGAAAGAGGTCACTTCAAAAAGTCTTTCTACTTTTAGCCAGCAAAAGAAAAACAAAATCAGGAGCAGGAGCAGGGTGAATTCAAATACATAATCTGGAAATACATGCACATACACATACTCTGGAAATACATTTACATACACATTGCTCCAGATAAAGTTTGCAATGAAATCATTATTGATTATTGAAGCTGGATCGAGGAATGCCGTGTTTATTACCTGGATCGAGGAATGGAGTTGTCGTCAACGAATGGAGTTGTCACCGTCGATTTCCAGCGAGGAATGGAGCTGTCGTCGTTGATTTTTGGCAAGGGAGGAAGGCGTCATCGTCGATTTCAAAGAGTTCAGTTGCGATTTGGGTGGGATTTCAGAGAGAAATTTTCTTAGAGAACAGAGAAGAAGGTGAGAAATTTTCGTAGAGAACAAAGATGAAGCTGAGAAATTTTCTCAGAGAATAGAGAAGAAGCTAAGAAATTTTCGTAAGAAACTGAGAAAGAAAAGAAGATGAGAAACAGAGAAAGGGTTGCGATTGTGTATTAGGGATTTAGGGTTTTTTAAAATTTCGATCGATTTATCCGTCGGTCCATTCCAGTTTTTAAAATAGTGTTTACCTGTGGTGAATGAATGTCATTTTGTTCACAATAACCACTCACACGAGCAAATGTTTCTTGCTTCTTTGGGTACCCAAAAATGTTAATAGTTCCTTCAATATACCCTCAAGAGATAGCAGATGAGATGGCGTCACGTCAAATGCACGTCATGTAGTAAACACTGTTTTAAAAACCAGACCGGACCGGCGAATACCTTGCTGCTCTTGTAGACTTTTTAATTCTCAAAACCAAACCCGCTTCTTGCTTTGAGATAATCAATTATTCTCCTTTTCCATCCCCATTTTCATTTTACTTTAAATAATTTCTACATACTTTTGATGGCCTTGGTTCATGGGGTTATGGGATGAGGAAGAAAAAAAATTACTTATTTGGAGGATGTCTTCTGATAATCTTTTTCTTGCTTTTATCTTATACAACACATGTTTGCTTGAGAGGCATGCAATTGGTGACCAGAATTTGTCATCAATCCTCTCTGCTCCGCTTTTCTTGGTTATTGGTATGATCTTTAGAGGAAATTATGAGGATGGATGACATATACATAATTGGACCTTGTAATTGCTTTAGCTCCTAATGAGTTGAAATGGCCTATTTTGATTTACTGGTGTTGTCAAGTTGTTGCTGAGTTGTCCTCTGCAGAGCGCTGCATGTTGTGCTTGTTTTGCAGGAGCTGTTCTTGAATTATGCTGGTTCTTGGTTGTTGTTTCTTCTGGCTTATGGAATTGAGTTAGGCTCGATTGAGGGCAAGGAAGAATGGGTATTTATTTTTGGTTGCCAGGGCTCTTCCCCCCAGCTAAGCTTTTTGCTTTGTGTTTGGAGGCTAGTATTTTTTATTTTTTATTTTTTATTTTTTTTTGTTTTGTTTTGTTTTGCCTACTGGTTTGGCTGTTTGCAGCAAGTGTCCAGCGGTGAAGGTTGTATCTGGTAATTTGATCTTCTTGTTGTTTGGGGGCCTTCCTTTGCATAGAAAGTCTTACTTCTGTTGCACAGTTCTTTTTTTTTTTTTTTTTTTTGGTTCTCTTAAGAAGTTTAGATAGTGGCATATGACCTGCTGCTTTTTGTTTTGCTGGTCTTTTTGCCTTGTGGATAGCTGATGTTTTTAGGTAGGATGGCTTTTATGTATAACACATGTATATAGTATATACTTTGTGATTAATGCATTTATCGTAATTGAAATGTGCTTCTGGACTTGTGTTTATGAGTAGTGAGATGTGAAATGATGTTTTATTTAGTCCTTGAATATTCATCCACTTGACTTTGTGATTGCTTCATTCTGATGGTCTGCTATTTATTTATCTATCTCCTTTGCAATTTAGTACAACAGAATTGATGCATGCAGTGGACAATGAAGTTTAGGCTGTGCTTTGGCCATCATAAATGCTCATAAAAAATTCAACACCATTTCCTTTCCAAAAGATTTACACAATTCAATTTTTTCCAAATTTAATGAGGAGACAAATTAAAAAGAACGGCAGTTAAGCTTATCAGCCTATGTCACTTCCTCAGGCTAACATAGAAATGAACACCTATGCCACTAACTCAGGCCAACATAGAAATGAACTACCTAGGCATCAGCCAAAAGCAATCAAACTAATTGTGGTAGTTTCAAATACAATCAAATTGAATAACACTGAATAACAACAAAAGTTTTTGCCTAGACTTGCAATTCATCTTCAAACCAGCAGCTCCACTTGTTTGCTGAGGAGATTTCTATTCAGGACGGCACTCGCACAAAAAGGATAGGTCATAAGCTTTCAATTGCTTCCGTAAAAAACAAGCATCCAGAATTTGATGAGAACCCACTCCCAGAACTCAACAAAATAGTAAAATAATAACAGCCAACAGCCAAGAAATATAAAGAAAATAGATATGTGTATTGATATTCAAAAAATTGATAACAATGGTAGCAAACAACAAAATATACCCAGCACATCAACCCAAAAGGACAAAATCAAAATATGAAAGGAAAAACAATGCTGGACTTCGAGGGCCAGCTCCTCCCTAATTGCTAACTTCAAGGGTTAGGGTTAGCTCCTCCCAAATTTCCCTATATTCTTCTCTACCCTAATTTGCTCTCTCCCTCTCTTTTTATCCTCCAGCCCTCTCTCTCTCTCTCTCTCTCTCTCTCTCTCTCTCTCTCCCTAACTGAATTCTTTTGCTATCCCAACCCCCAATCACCACCTGTCCTAGCCTAAGCCCATGGAGTTTCCTGCCAACATCCCCTCAATCCACTGCTTGCTATCTTATTTCACTTTTCCTACACCCTCATTATCCAAGTCCCATCATTACCCTTCTCAAGCACTACCACCTTGTCCTCAAGGCGGGAAGATGGAGATTGTTTACCTGACACCATCCTGCTCCTCCACTCCTTCACTACCCTCTTCTTCTTTACCCAACTCTTACTCATCTTTTATCATTTGCCGAAAAGGGGTCGATTCGTTGTTGATCATGGGCGTTGACCC